GCGTGTGTCCGCTGGGTCCTAGTGCCCCTCCCTGCATGTGCATGTTGTTGTTGTTGTTTACTGACCTGCATGTTGTTGTTGTTGTTGTTTACTGACCTGCATGTTGTTGTTGTTGTTTACTGACCTGCATGTTGTTGTTGTTGTTGTTTACTGACCTGCATGTTGTTGTTGTTGTTTACTGACCTGCATGTTGTTGTTGTTGTTTACTGACCTGCATGTTGTTGTTGTTGTTTACTGACCTGCATGTTGTTGTTGTTGTTTACTGACCTGCATGTTGTTGTTGTTTACTGACCTGCATGTGCTGCAGCCCTGGCTGCGTGTCGTTCTCGGTGTACGGAGGATTCCACAGCTGGATCTTCTCCTGCTTCAGCAGGTTCTTCAGCTTGGCCTCAGTGTTCTGCTCTGTCATCTTCTCTGAAAACAACAAGTAAACAAAGAGTAAACAACAGGACCAGTTTGTGTTGATGACTTTGATCTTTAGGAGTACAAATAAACCATTCAGTTCAATAATATTATTTATTTCAGCATGTTATTTTGTTTTGAAAGACTGTTTCCGGTGCATTGTGGGTAATGTAGTGCCGTGTTAGGGGGCTGGACCAGAACTGGACCAGCTTTTAACACATTATCTTTTTCTGTAGAGAAACTAAACTGCAGAGAAGTTTATAAATCAAAGAGTTCATCTGTTTAATTTGAGATCATCTTGTGAAAACACAAACTTATTTTAGCTAGTGAGCTAATTAGCTAACATGTTTACAATCCTCTAAAACTCATTCCAGTAAAGGTTGGACAGAAACAAACCCGCTGCGTGTGTCTGGGACCAGGCGGGTTTAAAATGAGCAGTTTGTTGGTTTTATTTGTCTAAAGTCGGTTATAATTAACAGACGGACAGCAGCTCATGACTCACACTGACCGAGCTAACACAGTTAGCTTTCAGCTAACAGCTTGTATCATGAGCTAACACAGTTAGCTTTCAGCTAACAGCTTGTATCATGAGCTAACACAGTTAGCTTTCAGCTAACGGCTTGTATCAGAGCCCAGTCTTACCTCGGTGTCACTCCACACGATGACTGACAGCTCCGGTTCACTGATGTCTGCAAATGTTCTGGTGTCGGTTCGGTACTGTGATGTTGTGTTTATTAAACTGCCAAAGAGAAGAACTTTAAAACAAGAGGGCTCACTCTGAGGCTTTTTATAAAACCTGCTGTAGACAGATGGGCGGAGCCACAGAGTCATAAATAGACGATCTTTGTGATATTTACGGTGCTCTGTGAAGGACAAAAACCATCAGAAATAACCTGAACTTTATTTATTTATTTGATTATTTATTTATTTTATTTATTGTTCTGATTACATAAATAAAATGTATTAATATATTTTAAATTACTCAGTCACATTTAAAGATTTATTTGACAGAAACTGATTTAATGAGTCACCAAACTTCAGACGGACCAGAATCAGAACCAGATCCAGATCCATTCATCAAGCTGAACCGGTTTAATAKCAGACTCTGAGGACCCTCAGAAGGACGGGTACAGACCCAGTCTCCTGGCAGCAGCTGATATCTTCGGGGTCTTCCTGCTGGGGAACGGGTAGTGGTTCTGGGAGGATGGATCCAGTCCTCCTGGGCTCAGCTGTCTGCGGATCCTGGGGTTCTGAAGCTGTCCGGACCGGCTGGTCTCTGCAGACTGATTCTGCTGCGGGCTGGTGGGCTCAGTCTCAGAACCTCCTGTGGACCTCCTGTGATGGGGGTCCTCAGAGGACCACGGGACCTGATCCTCCCTGCAGCCTGCTGAGCCTGGAGTGGATCCACCTGAGGGTTCAGAACCAGGACCAGCTCTGAGTGGGTCTGAGGACCATGTGTCTCTGGAGCTGCAGGGAGAACCCGATGGGGACGGTCCCCCCTGCCGAGAACTGCTGAAGACCTCAGAGGACGAACCTGAACACCTGAAACCCAACAGAACCGACCGGACCGTGTCAGAGACCAGCAGAACCCAACAGAACCAACTGGACCGTGTCAGAGACCAGCAGAACCCAACAGAACCAACTGGACCGTGTCAGAGACCAGCAGAATCACGACAAACCTGCTGGTCTTTGTCTGGACCAGGAGACGGGCGCGGCGGTGCAGGTCCAGGTGGACGTGCCACGGGTCCAWCATCTTTGGGTTGACAGGAGGGGCGGGGCTTTTTGGTTGCCATGGTGACGTGGAGCCCTGAGCAACAGGTACGACACTGACGGCATCATGTCTGTCTGAGAACAGGAAACAGTGCAGGTAAACTACAAAATAAAAGCACGAACCTCCTCCCGAGTTCAGACTCTGGTTTCAAATCCTATGACATCATCACACACAGGAAGTCATTAAACTACTTCCTGTTTCCTGCTAAAGGTTTAAACAACAAATGCTTTTAGTTTTGGTTTTCTGTCAAAGGCTTTTATTCTGAAATGTTAAACAGGAAGTTACCTGACCTGTAACTTTACATTAAGTTTTCTGTTCTGTGGCCTTAACAAACAAACAAACAAAGAAACAAAGAAACAAACAAACAAACAAACAAAGAAACAAACAAAGAAAGAAAGAAACAAACCCTCACCTGTCCAGGTGAGCAGCAGCACCTCCCTGCTCCTCCTCAGTCTGTACTGCTGTCGGAGCACAGACACGTCCATCTTCATCCTCAGCTCTGAAGGCTCCTGCAGTCTGAAGACAGCACGCGCACACGCACGTTTGTAATCACCCACCACGCCCTGCAGAGTCCGGGTTCTGGTTCCGGTTCAGTATTCATGTTTTTTTGAACAGGTGAATGAATTTAAATAAAAACTTTTCTGATTAAATCCAGTTTGAAACTGAATTTAAAATAAATAAAATGTTTATAATAAAGATAAAAACGAACTCATCTGAAGCAGAATCCTTCAGATGTTAACATTAAACAAACTTGTTCTGGATCAGATCAGGATTTTGGATCAGAACCTGAGGCAGAGCCKGTCCTTTTAAATGTTTAAGCCCCGCCCCTCTATCCGTGAAGCGCGTTCCTGCTGAATGCGCGTGTCCGCCATCAATCTGCAGCATGTCCTCCGGTCCGGACCGTCCTCTGTACCTGGGCCTGGACTTCAGCACCCAGCAGGTAAAACCAGGACMTCACCTGGCGGCTCCTCATGTCACATTACGTCACATTACGTCACGTGACTTCTACGCTGAGGCGTGAGAAACTCGAGCTCAGTGCGCAGGCAGAGCACGCTGTGATGTTTGTTTGTTTGTTTGTTTGTTTGTTTGTTTGTTTGTTTGTTTGTGTTAAGAAAATGCTCGTGAGGGTTCTGCTGGACCGGAAGTGAGCGGACAGACTTTGTCCCGCGCGCGGCCATGATCAGTCAGTTTAATGATTGACAGCTGCAGAACCTCTGGTTCTGTACAGGTTCTGGTTCTGTCTGAGAAACATGTTTGTTTATAAAAGTTTCATTATTA